TTGCAACATTTTATTTTTAAACATCCCAAACCAGTATTTTAAGTGTTACAGTTAATAAAGTTTGATAATTTATTTTCAGTTACATAGAATTCTTTAATAATGATTTTCTCTCCATCATAAATTTAATCTGACTACTGTAAAAAAAACATGTTGCTCTGCTTGGGGTAATCTCCCAATTATAGATACATATATTTGCCTTGGCATGTTTGCATTCACATATTTTATATTCCTGAAAATGCTATGCATTACTTTAGTTTACCTTTTAACTGTATATCATACAGTCATGGTGGTACCATGCTCCATGAATTTCAGTGGAGTGGAAATAGTGTACTTATTGAATTTCACTTAACAGTATCTTAGCTCTAATTTTTCAACTGGTATTCTCATGTATCTTTGTAAATAGGTAGTTACACATTGCCCAGGATATGCAGTACTGCTTCCTGAGCTGAGGAAAGGGGCAAAATCCATACTAGATCGGAAGCATTTTCCCCAGCAGGATACCTTGTGCTCCTTACCAGGAAGGTCACAGCTTGGAATCTTTCATCCACTCAAAAAACCCTGAGGGAGGGTCCAGATCTCCCGTGGCACAGAGGCTGTCACCAGGTTATTCTCTGCCAGGGGGAGAACATTTCCTTACTGAGCTGTTTCACAGTTGGGTGCTGTTGGGAAGGTCATGAGTCAGTTATCTGCTGACTTTCCTCTAAAGCTGTGCTTGAAATTGATGATGTTTATGCTGTAACTAGTGAGTTAATCGGCAGTCCCCAAGCTTCTGCTGAACTCTTGAGATCTGAATGAATAAAAGAGGCAATACCTCATGCCATTTACGGTAGTATTTTTTTACTGTGGATTTTTAAAATATTTTAAAAGCATCTTGAAATATTTGCATTTTTCTCTTTGTTTTGTTTTTGTTCTTTATATTATTAAAGCAATATAAATGGTTTTGAAAATATAATAAGATATACAGCACTGTGAGACCTCTAAGCAGAGATAAGCACAAATACTATTTTGATGTCTATCCCAGCCTTTTTTCCACTAACCATTACGTGTGAACATTTTCCATTGTCATTCAATTTTAATACCATGTTTTTTTCTGTCCCCCACCTCCACTGTTCTGATGTCACAGTCATCAATGAACTTTCCATGTTTTATTTAAATAGCTCTTATTTTCTCCTATAAAAAGTAATCAACTTCTCTACATCTAAATCTTTGTCTACTTTTCCAACTAGGACAAATATTTTAGGACAAATACTTTGAAAAAAAAAAGTGAGTTAAAGGCTTTAATTATCTTTATGGCTTGAGATAAACAATTGTATTATTGCTGATTTCCCACCAAAATCACCATATCAGTGCATTTTCTGAGCTCCTGAGGCAAAATTGTATATTTTAAGAAAATCATTATATTTGACATGGAAAAGTATCATGGTATGTTAATGTCTATTTATTTGAATATTACTCGATGTGAACTTACCTTCTCATGTTTTTTGGCTACTGGTTTCAATTGTAATTGGTGAATTACCTTAACAGGCATTTGCTTAATTTACATCAATGTATAAATTTAAAATTATTTTAATAAAGGTTTATATGTTACAGATATTAATAGTATATATATATATGTATCGCATATATATGTTTTATTATATTCTATATCTCTAAAAATGTTTGTGTGTTCCTAACAACAAAAATGTTATAATTTATGTAACCAAATCTATTGATTTATATCTGTATGATTTCTGTCATTATGCTTAGATTCCTTCTTCAATGGAACAAAATATATTTTTTCTAGTTGTTTCATGACTTTATTTTTACAGTTACATTTTACATTTACTCAAAAATATTAAATTAATCTAGGAGCTAGTCATGTATACATTAGATTTTTTTTCTTTTAAATAATGAGCCGGTTGTCTCAGCACTATTTTCAAATAAGCCTTCCTTCTCTGTTTGTTGAAGAAACGAGATATTCCTGAAGCCCCAGTCACGTCTATGACATGTGCAATGCTTTAGCTATGAAAGAACTGACAGGTGAATTATCTGCAAAGGAATTACCATTAGGCTGCTATTATCAGAGAATGAAGTCCCTGACCTTTACCTGCCGCTTAGTACCTAAATGTCCTTTGTCCCTCTCCATGTTACTCTTCTCATTTTAAATGAATTGCCCTTCACTGAAGATCTACATTTAATAATGCCAAATATATTATCCTTGTTCACATTAGGCAAATGGATAGTCGACCCCAGTTCAAGCATGGTTTTGATTTGTAAGGCTGAGCAGTTTTTACTTATCATTTCTAGAATGGAGAAAATTCTAAGAGTTTAAATTAGTGACCAGAGATTACATTATCTCTTTGTAGAGGAGCTGAATCTTCTAAATTGACTGTGCTGACATTTCACTGTGGAGATACCGTCTGCATAATGCATCCTATTTCAGTATGGAATGAAAATATTACAAAGAATGAGAATGTAAAATAGGCAAATGTGAATCAACCACTTAATTTCTGAGCCACCGATTTCTATCTCTAGATTGCAGAAATCCTATGAAAATATGTCAATTCCAAATGTATTTTGTTATAGATACCATTTCATTAAGGGCATATTTTTGAAATTTTAGAAAGAAAAAAAAATCACTTAAATGATCTAACAGACATTAGATAAATCCACGAAGCCTAAAATTTATTAAAACAAGTTTTATATCTGTAGGTCAAAAACCAAAGTAAAATTAAGCATACTGTGGAAGAAAGGGAAGGTGGAGGATCACAATGGAGTAATGAAATGCCAGGTGGTGCCTATAAAACTCTCCCTCATGTGGGGACAGAAAGAGATTGGGAAGGAGGGACAGGGACCAGACTTCAGAGTAAAGCGACATAAACAGAATACAAGAGAACAGCAAAAAAACAATGACAAAGTGTGGCATAATATGTGTGAAATCAAAGTCATAATTTCTTCCTGTTAGAAGATTAAAGAACAATGAAAAGTAGTGAGTCAGAGCTGTGACAACCTTTAAAGCCACATTAAACAGTTTAAACATAAGCAAGAATACCAGTTATGAAAAGGATATCTAGAGATGTACCGGAAATGAAGTCACCCGCTTTGATTGTCATGCTAATAACCATAGGTCATTTTCTATTAAGAGAATTACAGAAATAAAGGCTTCAGAACATCATCTCTCTGGCAAACTGGCAGTAGTCTATAATGTTGCTAATAATACTTCACACGTTAACCTTCAAAGAGCTTTACTTTTAATCCCCCGCCCTCCAACCCCCTCAAGAAAACCACCATATGCTATGTCACTAATTTGATAAATGGGAAACTAAGCAGGGAAGATAAATGAGTCATCCTAGGAAGCCTAGCAGATAAGGACCAGAACCTAGACTATGGAGTCAGTGCTTTATGTCCTAAGATGAATTTGCATTTAAAAAAAATAATGATTTCCTCAGTAAAATTATTTCAAGGAAAAAATATACCCAGTGTGTGAAATTTCCAATTGACGTTCCTGTTTCAGATTGGGCTTTCAGAGCCCTCCCAATTCGAATACACATTTATTTTAGTGAAATAAATCCCGTGGTTACTGCAAATGCAAGTGAATTTAAGGTTAGTTTGTGTTATAAAAGCATTTAAAAATGTCTGGTTCCTTAGAATAAATCCCTTAGAAAAAAAAAAAAAAGACTGCACACCCAACTCACCAAATGGGCCAAGTAAGGGAAACAAACAAACAAAACCCTGATGGTGGGGATTCCGTGGAGAGCAAAGGCAGGGCTGGAGACCATTCAGCCTCATTAAGCAGGGATCCGCGCTGTGACCTGCCTCTGGCCTCGCGTGGTACCCCGCCAGCTGTACTTCTCTGGCACAGAGGGTGGTTGGCCATATACTTTTTAGTTAACTGGGCTGGTCGCCAGAGATGTTTCTTTTCCTTTTCTCATATTTCCAGAATGGAGGGGTTTTTCCTACATATTTTTCACATAAAGATGCAGAGTTTCATCCACCCACTGTGAATAAATTTAATTTAGCCGTCTTTATGCCTCCTTGATTCCCATCAACTAAAAGTCTCTGATACAGGGGCAGACGTGTAAACTGGGAAACCTTCCAGACTTCTTTGTTGTTGTTGTGATTGTACTTAATGCTGAGCCACTTAACAATACTCCACATGAAACAGGGCTCTTGTGTCGGTAAACATGCCTTTCGCCTTACTGAAGATAGGTTCCCTATTCACACCACCAGACCCGGGGGCCAGGCAAGCTTAAACGTTTGAATTGCCTTTCAGTAGTGGCGCTTCAAAGGATAAAGAGCGTCACATTTCAGGAGAGGTTCCTTTTGTTCATTGAGTGTTCTCACACTTGAAATCACATTACCGTGCTATAGTATATCAAGGTATGGCAAATATTTCCACAAATGACATAGTCTAAAGTATCATGTACACAACACACACAGTATCAAAATTCAATCCAGACTCAAAAGCGAAATTCAGCTTCCAATGTTGCTAACCTTCTGACGATGGCCTGCTCACTTACAGCTCTAACACCCAAAAGGCTGTTTCCATGCCTTTCCGTTTGCCTTTTAACAAGTCACCACTTACAGTTTCCACATGCTATTCAGACCATTTATTTGCTAATATTTAGAAAACAGAGTAAATTCCTTTGGAATCATTGTTCTATTCCACATTATAGGTAGAACACCAATTAGTATCTAAAATCTCTGTGAAGGTGGTCAGTTGATAGTTTCCAGTTTTACTTCATTAAGTTTTACAGATTTCCTTTATACTTGGAGAAAAACTAACTGTATTCCAAATGTTCAGTTAGATGTAATGAGATGCAAACAGGCGTCTTTGGGAGCTATTATTTCAGTTGAATTTTTCACTCTCTTCAACTATGGCTGACAATATTATGCTTGATGACAGAGAGACAGGGACTATATCTTTTAGGTTCATCGAGGTAAAGCTGTGTAGGCTGTTTTCATTTGCTCATAGCCCTCTCTGTTTTTCATTTATTACCTACATTTTTCCAATTCTGCAGTTGAAATCCGATGAAAGGATCATCAAAACAGAATATGGGCTACTGATTCGAAGTTTGCAGAAGAAGGACTCTGGGATGTATTACTGCAAAGCACAGGAGCATACTTTTATCCACACCATAGTGAAGCTGACTTTGAATGTTATTGAGAATGAACAGATGGAAAATACCCAGAGGGCAGAGCACGAGGAGGGGCAGGTCAAGGATCTGTTGGCTGAGTCACGGTTGAGATACAAAGACTACATCCAAATCCTTAGCAGCCCGAACTTCAGCCTCGACCAGTACTGCAAACAGATGTGGCACCGGGAGAAGCGGAGACAGCAAAACAAGGGAAGCCCAAAGTGGAAGCACATGCAGGAAATGAAGAAGAAACGAAACCGAAGACATCACGGGGATGAGCTCCCTAGAGCTGTGGCCACGTAGTTTTCTATTTAATTTAAAGAAACGAATTCCTTCACTGCGAAAATACTGTCTTCTGTTCTGTACACCCCTTATACTAACTCGTACGAGTTTTCCATGGAGTTTGGCTAAGGCACAAGAAAAATAATCTGAGTAAGACTAGGTATGGTGAATATGGCATAGTAAGGGCAAATAGTTCATCTGAACCCGTTTTCCAAGAATGAAATTTGTACCTGCAATGTGCCAGAATTATCCTGAAAGTAGGAACTTAACCTTTGTAAATGTTTTATGTTCTGAGGTTTTGAATTTATGATGTCATGTAAATAAGTGAGCTAAGCAAGTATCATATTTGCTATCGTACTGAGGTGCTTCGTTTCCCTTGCATGGCCATTAAGCATGGAGTTTATCATGCTGTTGTATTATATGTTCTTATGAACCGATATATCATTCCATTCTAGAACTGGCTGCCTTGTGGTAGGAATCGGAGGGAAGACACGAATCCAGACAGCTCACATTATCAACAGGAACTTTCCCAGTCAGCCATTCGCTCTGGGTGCATGGTTTAGGAATTTGGAGAAGTGCATTATTTCTTTCAGACCACAGGGGTTATTTAGTGTAGGACAGCACTGATTTACTGAAGGGCGTAAATGCTCCTCCGAGGATTCCCGATGACTTGTCAGGAGTAACAGGTTCACAGAGAAAGGTGGGTGCTCAGTTATGTGTTTTTAGATTATATGCTGAGCTTGACATGGACAGAATGCTTGATAAATATTTTAGTAAGATGGGGGGAAATATTTTAATAAAATAAGGGAAACATCATGATGAATACTGCATCCTAATGGGAAGGCATGCAGATGGGATCTGTTAGGAGACAGAAGGAAAGACAGCCATAAATTCTGGCTTTTGGGAAAACTCACATCCCCATAAAAAGAAAGAACAGTCACAAATAAAGTGAATGAAATGTAATGTAGCTTATTCACCAGAGTATAAGGGGCTGCCAATTTATAATCCATCTGTTAAAAAAATTCTAGATTATAACAAACTGCTAGCAAAGTCTGAGGAAAAGTAAATTTTCTAAAGGATCTTGGGAAGAATGAACGCAAATTTATTTACAACCAATGGGATTTCAGTATGTACTTTCCCTCTTTAAAAAAGAAACTAATCATACTCTATAAATTATTTCCATTTACTGCCTTTGTTCTTTCCAGAATATTGGATCATTGGATTTTTTTTTTGAGTGAATAAAAAAAACAATATGTACATACATAGGGATAGAATTAAGTAGACAACAGTGGTGGGAGAGCAGGGAGATATATTTGTTGAGTAACAGAACAAATGCAAAAATGTTGACAACGGAAAGGGTTAAATTAACTCTTTGACATCTTTTTTTCACATAATCTTTTTTTGCATTTTTTGAGATTATGTGCTGTAATTGAAGTAGTATTGTTTTAGTAATTTAATAATAAATAAGCCTAATGCATGTAAAGAAGACAAACAACATAAACATTTTTCATATTGTGTTAGCACTTTCCAATATTTACAATTTGACTTTATCTCTGAATATGCATGGTGTGCTTCCTGCCTGTTTAAGCAGGACTCACCTTTCCTTCTTAAACACAGTTCTTAGCCTTCTTCTGTTTCGCCTTTTCACACCCTTTTTAGTGTGAAATGAAAAATTAGTCACTTCCTCACATGGAAGGCAGCTTTTCAGAAAACTAAATAGCAGACATTGCTCATTTCTCATGCATTCTACGTGTCTTGAAAGAAAAGCCTCTGAGAACCCGTGTGATTAGTACAGAGTTCACTGTCATGTCTATGGCTGGCTTTATGTTCAAAACATTCTGTCTTACATTTCACTTTATTTACATCGCTTACCTATCTCAAAGTAGCCACACTGATAGGTGAGGTTAAGTATCCCTTTTAATATGAAATTCATAAATATTTGTAGATGTTTCAATATAAGGAAAACTTAAAGATCTTTTGTTTTTAAAAAGCAAACCAGAACAAATCACTCTTTTAAAAAATAATGCGTAACCATAGTTGTAGTAAGATCAGACTGTTCATTGATTATCATAACAAGAGTATTTGTAACTACTGATTTGCTGGGTTGAAATGTTCCAGGAACTCGTAACAAGTTCAAAGCAAATAAGTGGGAGTATGTTTTATTTTTTAGAGATTTTCAAATATTCGTATATCAGACAGTAATGATCAAGTTATGGATGGCTTTGAGAAAATTACGTGGAGCTTAATTAAGTGTTAGGATTGACTTGTGAAAATAATTTTAGTTTTCATCCAAATATGAATGTCCAAGCCATTTTTAAATTACTTCTTATCATAGTTATTCAGACAAAATTTGGGGAACCTACTTTACTGTACAGCTAATAATCTGGCTCCTTTGGATCTAAAACTATTAATTTATGACAATTACTTAAATATATATTTGAAACATTGTTAGTAAAATAAAAGGTCATATTGAAAAAAAACATAGGGGCAAAGACTTCCAGTATTTATAAAGATAGAGGACATCTAAGCTATGTTTAATTTTTTAACCTTTTAATTGCCTAGAACACTTAGAGGAACAGTGTAAATGTATTAAATCTAGAGATGAGACACAATATGTACTTCCTCACCACTGAAGATTTTACCAAATTCCCTGAAATAATGAAAACTAAAATTATAGTTAAAAGTTTCAAATACATTTGCTTACAAATCAGCTCTCTATGGAGAGGTCTTAAAATGTATATGTTTGTTCTGTTTTTTTTTTAATTAAAGTTTAATGGGGTGACAGTGGTTAGTAAAGTTACACAGGTTTCAAGTATACAATTCTGTATATGTGACATCATCTATATGTCACATTGTGTGCTCACCACCAGAATCAGTCCTATTCTTGAATTCATAGTTTTCTCCCCCATTTTGAATACATACTTCTTTGACTGCCATATTCTCATCTGTGTTTCATTCCAGCAATGTATGCTGCTAAATGCAATCCTGCCTTGTCTGCATTCATTTACATTCAATTTATTGGGAATTTTAATAGTTTGTTTAGAAATGGATAGCTAAGTAATTAATTTATGTAGAACCCATCACTCCCCCAACTCCCTACCCTCACCCCAAAGAGCTGAAAACACTACATTCACATTATTGAATAAAACATTTTTGGAAACCTACCAAATCAAGAGAAGGAATGATAGTCATAGAGAAATTTAAAAATTTGCAAAAGCCACAAGAGTGGTAGAAGATTTATAATTCACACAAAATCTCATCATTCTGTTGGCTTGGTAATACACATTTACAATATGCTGCCTGCAAAATTGCCTTACTTTTGATTTTCGCCTTTGGTCTATATTTTGGTTCTTCATATTCTATCAAGTTTTGTTCCCGCTGAATTGTATAGACTAAACTAAAAAATAAGTTTGCAGTGGCCAGTGCCTCTTTCTTGAAACATTATCAAAATTAAAATTTCAAGGACAATTTAATACCATCTAGATGCCCACAAAATATTAAACAAAAGCATAAATTACACACTGATATTAATTTAAATATTTTAAACTTAAAGACATATTTCATATGTATCATCAGTAAAAATGGAAATCAAAACTGAAATAGCTTCCCTTTAGAATGTTACATTTGTCTTAGACAACATGCTGGAATTGATTTGCCTTATTCAGAATGGATAGTTTAGAAAAAAGATATTTAAAGCGTTTTTATAGAAAGATATATTTTTTGTCACAGAAAATGACCACAATATTTAAGTAATTTAGCTAACATATGAGGTTAAAAATAAGATTAAAATACCAAGATGCTACACATTGACAGTGCAAAGACAGGAACATGTACATGACTTATACCTCTCATTTAAATATTCTGTAGTATAAAGTATTTATAGTAAGTTTGTGATAGATGATTTTGGGGCAAAGGGCAAAAATCTGTCAGTTAATTATGTAATTTAATTCTGGAATTGTAAGTGGTTAGCTATCAATTTTGAATTAACAGTTTTGCTATTTTAAAAGAACTGTAGTCTTGTAATCTAAAATTATTGAAATCTGTTAAATGTATATTTTGGTTGTACTATAATAAAACACAAACATTAGTGTTCTATGGTTATAAACAGAATGTTGGTTTGCGTGCAAGTTTTGTTTTCAAACCCTAAACACAGTGACCAAATGTCATACATAGAATTGCACTAAATCAAATACTAAAGAAAACATTTCCTGACAATTTTCAGTAGATATATTCTGTACTGCAAGTATGCAGTCATTTCCAAAGAAAAGAGCGTATCTCTAATTAATACAATTATATTGTTAAGCTTTACTGTGATTTAAATTTACACTTTGGCAGACTGAGATGACATTATTATGAAAAATAACTACTTTTAAGACTTCGAATTATTATCCTATAAGTGAGATTTTAAAATACTCATCTATATGTTTAGCTGTATGAGTATAATTTATCAAAGGAGTAAACAGTTGTGTTTTTTGTTTCGTTTTGTTTGTTTGTTTTGCTGTATGAAGACATTTCTTGAATTCCTTTTAGAGAAAATTATATCTCGCTTGCCAATTTGGTATACACATGAAGAATATTTAGTATTGGCAAACAGATAGTATTATTATAACATCACCCCAACCCTGACAATGAAATAATTTGTACAGATAGTGCATAGAGAAGTGTGAAGTTTTCTGAGTTCTCTGACAGGCTTCAAAATGAGAGTTTACAGTAATGCATAATCTTTACAAGAAAAAAATTATATAGGGCATTCTTAGGTCCTAGATCATGTCCAAGCTGTCAGTTTAAATAAAATACAACACAGTACTAATAATTGAGGAAATTCCAGTTGTAGTTGTTTGACTATAAAGAGACACATGGGTGATTCTCAGGACAAAACACAGAAGAGTTTAACATTGAAGCTGAGAGTCAAAAGCATCTATGATCACTGGACTTCTTATTTGCATTAGTGTGACTTTACTAGTCCAGGAAACACGAGCCCAAGAAGGTGAAGCTGCAAATACTGCTGCTACAGGACAGAAAGAGTTCATCCATCTGGCAAGAGCAGAGCCAAACAATGAGAATGAGAATTACTAAACAATGAGAATTACAGTGGAGGAAGATTGGCTATTTTATTATGAGTGGTGCCAGCCATGAGAACAGGAAGGTAATGCTCAAAAGGCAGAACTCTGGATTCAGGGGTTGGAGCGAGTTTTTTGGGGGGTGTAGAGGGGACAGGTATGTGCAAGCACTGGTGGGCAGGTTTTCACTGAAGGGCCTTTGAGCTTGGCCATTTAAGATAAAGGGGCATACTGCACAGAGCAGGATTTGCCCCAGTGGGCTGGGTGGCCTGTTGAGACCTCCCTTTGGGTCTGCCACTTTTGGGGCTAATTGGGCAGTGCTCTTCTGTGGTCTGAAGCCAACCTCCAAGTGTGTTGGTTCTGGGGCCTTTTGGGAAGGGCTGTAGCACAGGCCCAGATCAGCCACTGCCTGTGACCAGTCAGGCACCACCTGGTAGGAGTTATAAAGCGATCCATGGCTGTTTGCTGCCTGTGCTGGACCTGGAGGCATGTGGGAGAGGCCAGACTGTGAAGTGAAAATGTCTGCCTCCGGAACCAGGCCTGGGGTAGCTCTGCAAAAAGCCAGGACACACCAAGGCCTGCTGCTGCCTCCTGCCAGTTCCTGGCTTCCATAAGGTTTAGTTGTCAATAAAGCCTCCTGCAATAGGGAGTTGGGTGTGGTGGGGTCTCAGTGAGTCAGTAGCGCAGAGCTGCAGAGCTCACCAGGCCAATCAGACTCAGATTTGGCCGTGGTGGGGGCGGGCTCAATACAGGAAAGATGGTGCTGGCCTGCTGGCTGCATGGGAGGAGGTCTCCAGACAGCAAAAATGCTGACTGTCCTCCAGGCCTCCCCGCAAGGCCACACACCTCGGTCTGCCCACTGTATGCCTCTGATGCCCCCCGAGTCACCGTCCCTCTGCCAGAGTCCAGGTGAGTGTCTGCGAGCGAGTCTGTGTGCAGGCTCTTTAAGAGGATGTCTGTGTTTCTCAAAGCCTCTGTCTCACCCTGAGGGTCAGAATGCCCCATTTTCCACAGCCAAATACTATGGGGGTTCCTATTCCCAGCACCAGTACTTCTGGCCAGGGAGCCTGGTGTGAGGCCAGGATTCCTTGCTCCTCCGTGAAAAACCTCTGTGGCCAGGTATCCCTCCCAATTTACATTCGGTACAGGGGTTTAGGGCCTGCCTGTTTCACATCTCTGCCCTTCCTACTAGTCTTGATGCAGCTTCTTTGTTACAGCGTTAGTTATAAAACTTATTCAGCGAGGCATAAGATGATTCTCCAGGTGTAATGATTTCTATGATGTAGGTGTAATTTTGATATATTTATGGGATGAGGCAAGCACAGAGTGTATCTACTCCACCATCTTGGATTATTCCCAGAAGTTTAAGTGGAACAAACAAAAAAAAGAGCTGCATGCATCAACAATTTTGAGGGAAGGGAATTAAGGAATGCAGGAATTCAAACAGAATTATACTGAGTATGTCAAGTTTAAAGAAGCAAATTATACTGCTTGTGGATACATACATTCATACATAAGTAGTAAACATAAAAAACAGCTCTGGAAAAGTTAAGCACCAAATTCAAAATAGATTTTCTCTTAGAAATAAGAGAATGAGGACACAAGAGCTACAACTGTTTCAATAATGTTTTATAAGAAAAAACAAATCTAAATCCAATATTGTATTTATTCTACATATAGTTATAGTAACTAGTATATTTAAATGTTAATATTTGACAAAGTTGGGCATTGGATTACCACTTAAACATATGACTCTCAACATAATTTTGTTTGCTTGATTTATTTCATAATAAAAATGTAGATTAAGGATCTAAATCTCAATAAAAACAAATTACTCAATAATAAATTCTTAAGAGAGAGAGAAAGAAAAAAAGAGGGAACAAGAGAAAAGGAAAAACATATAGAAATATTAGGTATTCAACCATCATTATAGATGCAGCCTTCCAGTTCCAGTTACTCTTACATTATGGACTTTCTTACACACCCTGATTATTTCTAAAACATGACAGCTAGAACCTTGTTTGGCCTAAGGGACCCTGGGATAATGTCAAAGCAATGCCTTATTGTTATGGAAATGCCTGAGGCATCTAGGATATGGAACTATGTGCTTAATATGCAAAAAGACTCTAAACAGCTGAGTTGGCCTTTCTTGGATTGAACACTGTTCAAGATTGATAGTTAAAATATAGAGTTTCTTCTTTCTGGCTTACATATCAAATTTATAAACCAACACATGCTCTTGAGGTAACCTGAAGAGGGAAGAAAAATATTTATATCTAGCAAAATGTTTTTAAATGTTCCCATATATCATTATTTCTTACAAGAAAGAGTCTATGTCAGTTTAATTTACACTTTTGATTTACTATGTTTTGTTCACATGTGGAGATAGGACAAAATTTAGCCCAAAGTTTTGCCCTTTGCAAATTCTGAACTTTATTAAGTCCAGTTAGTGAGGGGCTAGTATATTTAAATATGTATTATAGGAATATAAAGGGTGATATTCAGAGAGTATTAATTTAAAGTACATAAACTTGGATAAGAAGAAAATGATACCAATTTACAGCTGGGAAGTTATCATTTAGAATCAGGAAAATGGTTGTTTAATGGCCCGTATCCCACTAAGCTTTTAATATATTGAAACAAATTACTACTGGGTAATTATCTCCAATTACTGAGTTGTAGTAAAATTGTAGCCCTTTCTAACAGGGCATTTTGACTATTGAAAAACAAATAAAAACTTAGACTCTTCTGTGGTAATTTGTGTTGTTGTAGTTAGTCTTTATAGACATTTGAAAGAAGTCTTAAGTTTCAGTGACCACAGGCAACATTAAGAGTGAGAATTACCGTACCCTATTCATGTGTGGAAACCATAGAAAGCTGGACAAGAAGGCAAGGGCCTGAATATCAGGAGCTTTATGAGTCGGACTAGATATTTAATGCTGTAGACTCAGGAAACATTTTATTTTTAAGCAAAGAAACGATAATGAGATTTTCATCATATTTGCATATGAGAAATACACATAAAGTGAAAAACGACCCCTGGGTCTCCATATTTTGCAACTGGGTGGATGATAGTTTTAAAAAAAACTAGGAAGTATAGTCAGGAAAATGGTTAGAGTGGGGAGATCATAGTTTCAGCCTTGAACACTGTGAGTTTGAGGTGATGTAAGGAGTGTCTGGTGAGCAATTTGATACATGGGTTTGGTGCTCAGGAAAAATGAAAGCTGGAATTGTTTTGTGCTCACAGGCATGGGTGACAGAAGCAATGTAGTGGTCAATGTTGTGAGCGTAAACAGAACTGGGTGGTCAACGTGGAACCGAAATTACTTTGTTTCCTGGTGTAAGTTATTAATTTCTCTGTACCTCAATGAGATGGCTCCAAAGTACCAAACGGCTTAAAAATGTATGATTTTTCCTTATTTCTTCCACCCGAAGCTAAATTTCTTGAGGACAAAATCTCTATTCTGTGTGTCTAGAACAGTCTCTAGTAACGAAAAAAGATCATGATTATGCTTCATTATTTAAAAAAAAATTCCACCAAATAACAGCATTTTCTAAAATTCTTACCCCATGTGCTTCTCTTTAAATCAAACTGGTAAATTGATGGTCTGTTTTCATCTTGAATGTTCATGTGTTTTAAACAAAAGAATTACAAAATGGTGTTAGAGTTTTTTGGTTTTTGTTTTTGTGCGTTTGTTTGATTCAGGTAGACATAAACTACAAGGTTTAAACTGGCAGAAAGGTCCATATGATTTGTAATGGGTGCTTTGCTTCAGCACAAGGACTTTGAAGAGGTCTTTAAAGAAAACTTTAAAGATTTAAATTCATAGCACAGTAAAGATTATAGATTTCTCTGATAGATGATTCTTTGGTTAATAACAATTTAAATTATTTTATTTGTGCCATAGTATTTCCCTGTCCAATTTACATTAAAGAGCATTTAAGTCTTAAATGGAATCTTGGAAAAACATTCTACTAAACCTTTAAAGTCCAGTGCTAAATGAGAGCAAACCAAAGTTACAGCTGTAACTTTAAAAAGGTACACCG